ACCACTAAAAAAGTAAAGCTAAAATGCACTTCAGCAGAATAAGGATTTCGCGACCAATCCCAACTAAAATAGACAGATCATGCGTTTGTTCAACATCTATGGGCTTCTTCCGCAGGATCACTGCCTCATCAGCCGCCGTAGTCGCCTGTGCAAGAGAGTTTTGCACGTGTTCAACATACTCTTCCTCCTAGTACCAGCCTGAACATCCAATGCCATCCCACTGAAATTAAAACAAAAAATTAGAACTTTAATCACAATCATCATAAAAATAAGTATAAATTAACCATAATCATAAAATGCGATAAAATAACTCACATTACGATCCGGACACTTGTAGAAGATACGGCCCTTGTTGGGACACTCCTTCCTCACCCGGTACTCCATCACAATCTTCTCCTCACACTTGCCGCATACAATGAGTGGGAGGTCCGGCCTCAGTCGCTTTGGAACCCGATGAGAGGCCGAGGACCCAGAAGCAGTTTCCATCTACTCTCTATACTAATTTTTAATATAATATAAATTTCTCATTTTATAAACAAATAAAATTAAAAAAACTTTTAAATTCTCTATATCTCTAAACCATGAAATGTGCTATGCATGCTAGAAATGAAAGCTGAATACTAGTTATGCAAACTTTAAAGTGATTTTAAGCTTAAATGGCTTACAAATAAAAAATCCACCATAAAAAACCACAAATATCTAGTCCACAAAATGAGATATGCTACTGATGAAACATGAGAGTATAAAGTTGGTAACCTTTTGAACCGAAGAATCGATGGAGAAATCGAAGAAATCTTGTGATTACCGGGGATGAGGAAGAAGAGAGGTCGGCGATGAAGCAAGAACACTGAGCTCGAAGTGGCTCGGGCTCGGGGAGGAAGAAGGAGTATATAGGAGGTGACCTTTAGTCCCGGTTGGAGATAAAAACCGGGACTAAAGGTCCCTTTCTAGTCCCAGACGAAGCCTCCAGCCGGGAGTAGACTTTTACTCCCGGTTGGAGGGACCAACCGGGAGTAAAAGTTAACCTTTAGTCCCAGTTGGTAGCTCCAACCGGGACTAAATGTCCCCTGCAGCAAAAGCCTACCGTAGTAGCCGTTGGGCAGGGACCTTTAGTCCCGGTTGGAGCTACAAACCGGGACTAAATGTCTCTCTAGTTCCGGGCGCGAAAAATACCGGGACTAAAGCCAAATTTCGAGGTGGGATCAAAGGTAATTTCTCTACTAGTGTAGGGAGCACTATGCAGTTGATGACATCATCGCACCGTCAGCTTGCTCCCTAGTTATATCGTACGGTATCACCAATGTTCGTACAATACAAGTTGCCACCGATTTGGTGATCCTTGGCCGCAAGTTTCATAATCGTACTATTCTAGATGAGTACGCTAGGGTAGAAGTGTTGACAATCATGCAAGGACATAGGGACGACTTGATAGACATCCCCACTCTAGAGGGTGTCGAGAAACTCGGACAAGCTATCAACGAGTTCATCCTATGGCCTCGACGAGACATTAGGTAGAATGATCCTATTCCATCGATGCCATTTCTCGGAGAGGCCGAAGGAGGGTTGCCGCATCTAACCTCGCCACCAACTCAGGACGCACCAACCTCAACCGAGAGGCAGGCTGCGTCGGAACCTAAAGAGCATGAACCTAACCCACCATCTCTAAACGCACCATCACCATCTCAGAACGCACCAACCTCGGCCGAGAGGCAAGAAGCACCATAACCTAACCCACCACCATCATTTAGCCTCGCCGCCGTCTCAGAGCCTGTACCTAACCCACCACCATCCCCAACCAAGAATCCACCATCCTCGAGCAAGAAGAAAGATGCCTCGGAACCTAAAGGCCCTGAAGCTAGAGGGAAAGATCATATTGTGCCAAAAATGGTTATGACCCATGAGAAGATACCATCGGTGACCATGAAGAAGTGGATGTCCGGACTTTCAAAGAGAACAAAGACACATACCAGTAGTGAAAAGGTGTCAAGAAATCCGGCTAATCGAAGACGATCATACGAAAGCCAACAAAAGAGGATTACGAAAATGCTCCCGATCATTATGTGTTGGGCAGGCCTCTACTCCCATTTCATGAACTCCATAAGTTGCACCTTTAATGAAGAGGTTGCATGACTGGTATATGAGAGCATCTTCGGTTGGTATCAATGCCTTCAGCGCAATTGTACCAGAAAATGCTTTTCTTAGTGGCCCAAGTAAGGTTGTCATTGACTTCGAGGACATTCAATTGATGTTTTGCCTTAGAAGACTCGACGTCCAGCTCGTGACGGTGTAGTGCCTATTAGTGTCACTTGTACACAATTATGTGTTATTATTAATATATGGTTAGGCCATGAAATCTCTGACATGCACATGGGCTTTACAGAATGCAACATGCAGAGCAGAAGATGCGGTTTGGTGAAGATCCGCATGCTCAGCAGAAGAAAAGGGTTGAGTATCTCAACCCGATGAGAATATGCAAGGACGAGCACACGGTGATTATGGGACCTAGTCACGGTGACCTTCAGGGCAAGACCGATGAGGAAATTGTGAGTATTAAAGCGAAGAAGCAACAAGACAAGGAACTTGAAGTGGCCACCTACATAGGAAACACATTTCTTGAATTTTAAGACAGGGAATGCGTAGTTGCCCCATAGAACTTCCAGTATGTTGGTCCTTTACTCCCTTTATAATTTCTATTTACAAAATTACTGTCTCAACATATGCATTAATTAAATTCGTGCAGGGACCATTGGATTTGTATACAGATTTATCCTAGAGATGGAAGGATGTTGGTCCTTGACTCCCCAGATTACCTGAAGAGCACGTAGGAAAAATTCTTGGGAATTATACAACAGTAAGTTGAGATTTGCATGCGTACTTTTCAACATTTCTATATTATCGATGAGAGTTTGGAAATAACTTGGTGATTTTATTCGAGCTCTGCAGGGCATACAGGTGGTATAAGTTCATGGGTAGAAAATACGATTTAAAACGACAAGGAAAACAGATGTCTGTATGGATCAAGTTTCCGGTAAATATAATATATGTCTAGTATATATATGTATATGTAGCAACTAAATAACCACTTGCCAATTGTTATATAGTGCCACAAGCAACCAGTTGGAACGATCCTCTGTGGGTTGATGACTATGGTAGAATGAAGTAGATATTGTTTTTGTCATGCATGAAAATATAATTGCCTGTGATGTATATTTGGGTTCATTTAAATTTTTAAATATAATTGCCTCGTCTGGCAGAAAATATATGGTAGGAAATTTTAAAATTTTAAAAACAATTCACTGGCGGTTTATGCTACTAAACCGCCTCTGGAAACCAATTTCTAGAGGCGGCTACTTTACATAGTCTACCTGTGGAAATAGATTGACACTGGCGGTTTTCCTAATCCAACCACCTATGTAAATGCCTTTACACTGGCGGATTGCTTAGGTGAACCGCCAGTGTAAATCTATTTTACCCTGGTGGTTGGCTTAGGCGAACCGCCAGTTTAGTGCTTAGGTGAACCGCCAGTGTAAATAGATTTACACTGGCGGATCTCAAAAAGACGGTTAAGACGCCGGTGAAGTTTGTGATTTTCATTGGCCTTTCATGCTGGCTTACCTGAAACGCAGTGAAAATGGGTTTGGGAATGCCAGTACAAAGCTTCGCTGTACTTGTGTAGGTATCAACTAAAGATGGAATAAACCTTCTAGCTTTGATAGGTACGCGCCATTTCAAAATTCAAATACTTTACTTGTGGGTCTTTCGCTTAGTTTCTCATGCGGTCTGAGTCGTCAGACATATGTCTAGCCTCAGGCCGCGGCCGTACCGTACTGGGATTTCCAAAAGGCCTCCAATCAGTATAGGTCTGTGCCTTGCTTGGGATACCTTGACCGTTCAGGCGACTTTCCTTCCGTCGCCACAACCTGATCATCCAGAGAGAGAGAGAGAGAGAGAGAGAGAGAGAGAGAGAGAGAAGCGTCGTCTACACCTTCTTCTTAGCATCAAATCCATTGTACCGTACACATGTTCGACGTCTTCAGCACTCGTGTGCTGCATAACTGGCTGCCTAGAATTAACACGCCTCGCCATGGTCTATATATCACGCCTCACCATGATTTTTCAGAGGCTTATATAGTACTAGTGCTCTGGATGTCAGAGAAACACTGGCTGATTTTGCAGGTCATCTGCTAGTGACGGTACTTTTATATTTTTGTTTGGAATTTGATCCGAGATATTAGAGCCACTGAATGCTGCTTGTTGAACATTTTAATATAAAAAGGTGTAAGAATTAGCAAATTAATCTCGTACAAGGAAAAGGACCACTGGCAGGAGTTGATCCGGTCACAAGTTTTAATTAGCAGGGCAAAGATTCCCAGTTGATTGTTCTTGTCGTGTGAACCAATTCGTTCCTTTTCCCTGTCAAACAAGCCTAGCACAAACCTTTCCACAAAAAACTCGAATAAAGTGGAAAATCAGGGAGCAAGCAAAGTTGAGAAGAAACAAAGATGGGCAGACATTGTCCTCTACTAGCAATGAAGAAAGCAGATGCTCGCAGTTCATTTCTTCTTCCTTGGACACGCATCATCAGTACGATGAGCTAAAGAGGTAAAAGTCCAAAATCAAAAATCTCACGGACTTTGCCTTTTGTTTTTTTTTTTGTTGGACAGCAATTTCCTTTTTTTGAAAGCTCGAAGTATGTTTTTGGGTGGAGTTTTCTAATTTCCTTCTATTTGTTGGTTTTCATGATATGCACCCGTGCAACGAGTATCTGTTGTTGCCGGCAGCGGCCGTGTGGAATCTGTAGTAAGTCATCACGAGGCCACCCTAGACGTACGGCCGACGTGCAAACAGCCTATAAAAAGGGCTAGAAGAAAGGAAGAAACAAAGGAAGGAGTTTGAAGTTGTGACATGCTCAATGAACGCGTGCAATTGCCATTGCACATTGTGTTCTTCCCCAGAAAGATAGCGTGCGTTTGATTCTGATTAGAACCCAACAAACAAAAATGCCGTACGACGAGGAGGAGCAGCCTCCTCCGTCGAAGCCTGGGCCAGCGAGGCCGATGCAGGCAGTGCGGCTCACCAAGGACCACAACTCCGACGCACCCCTGGCCCCCAACGACCAGAAGGTGCTGCTAGAGCTCAACGGCGTCTCCTCCGCCGCCACCAGGGCACCACTGGACCTTGTCGCAGTCATTGACACCAGCGGCAGCATGCGGGGTAACAAACTGGAAAACGCCAAGAAAGCCCTCAGCTTCATCATCCGCAAGCTCACTGACCGCGACCGCCTGTGTATCGTCCAGTTCCACGGCAATGTCAAACGGCTCTGCCAGCTGCGCTGTGTCACCGAGGCCGGCCGCGCCGAACTCGAAGCCATCGTCAGCGGCCTCCGGGGCGGTGGATCGACCAATATCGAGGCGGGCCTCAGGGAAGCCGTCACCGTCGTTGGGGGCCGCAAGTACACCACCGGCCGCGCCGCCAACATCATGCTCTTGTCCGACGGTGATGAGGACAGAGGCACCAACGCGAGGAGTGTCGAGCCGGGCAACGTGCCCGTCCACACCTTCGGCTTTGGCGACGGCCACGACTCCAAGCTGCTGGGCGCGGTCGCGGAGAAGAGCCTGGGCGGTGTGTACAACTACGTCGCCGACAGCAACGACCCCGCCAAGCTCGCCGAGGCCTTCTCCCGGATCCTGGCCGGCCTCGTCACCATCATCGCCCAGGACCTCGAGCTCACCATCACGCCGCTCCCCGGCGAGGCAACCATCGAGAACGTGTACGCCGGGACCTACCCGAAGGACCCAAAGGACCCTCCCGGCTCCTTGCCCGTCACCGTCAGGTTCGGCACCCTCTCCAGCGAGGAGGCGCGAAGCGTCGTCGTCGAGCTCGCGCTCAGCGACCGCACCGGCTTCCGGGCGTATCGCGCCACCGTCGCGGAGGTCCAATACAGGTTCAGAACCGCTCAGGGGCAGCAGGTCACCTCCGATCCCGAGAAGATCACCATAAAACGCAGCTGGAAAGTGGCCGCCACGGCAGTTGACGGCGCGCCGCGGCCGGTGGAGACCGAGGTCATCCGGCAGCAGCACGTGATCACGATCAGACAAGCGGTGGAGAAGGCCGAGAATGACAGAATGGACGAGGCGTGGAACGTACTGGCGGCGGCGCTGAAAAAACTGGTGGAGGCGCGGAAGAGGCTATTCGATCCGATACTGGAAGAGCTCCAGAATGAGCTCATGAAGCTGTTGGCGCTCTTCAAGACGAAGCAGCTGTACACACAGCACGGCCGCCCCTACGCCATTGCTTCGGAAGCTTGCCACGGCCGCCGGCGCTCCACCGAGAAAGGCGACGAGGCTGCCGGACCCTACGACACGCAACGCGTCAAGCAGTACCGCAAGCAGGTCCAGCAGCCCCACGAGACACCCCTGCCGTCCGCCGCTGATGAAGAGCTGGCGGAAGAGCCGGAGCCGGAGGCGCCACTGAGGAGGACGGCGTCAGTGGTGCTGCGTCTGCTCACGGCGGTGCTCAGCCTGTTGGCCTTCTCGATCATGGCCAGCGCAAGGACGTCCGGATGGGCCAGTGACTACTACGGCCGCTACGAGCCGTACAGGTAAGTGACCACTTTTTCTTTTTCTTTTGATTATTACTTTTCCTTTTTATTGTTCTTTCTGTTATCATCTTCCTCATTCGGATTATTGGATATGTCCGAAGGTTTGCTGTTTTGTGTTAGTACCATTTATTACTTAATAGATTTATTCCTTACTTATAAGGTGCTAGAGGTCTATATTAATTTTTTTTCCAAGTAAGGCACTGTTTGGATCCTCTAGTTTCTTAAAAACCAGTTTATTGAAACTGAAATGGCTTGATTTCTAGAAACAAGTTTTTAGTTTTTAAGAAACCAAGAATCTGGGCCAACCACCTACTCCCAGTTTTTATGTGGTAAAAGACCCACTACACTTGGTTAGTTTTGGGTAATTATAGTCATTATGCCATCGGCTCCTCATTTTTATTTCACTCGGTCGACGTTTCCCAACCCCCCCCCTAACTACTTTGGCAGCAGCCTTTCCCGCCGGGTTCCCTGCGATATTCCAAGACGAGAAACCCGTGGGCAGATCTCTCCCCATGAAACCCCCTGCTGCATTTGGAAGATCGCAGAGACGTGGAATACGTCCCCCTTCCTCGCGTTTTTCACGGGGTAGCAATCCACGCCGCAAGAGGCCGGGCGCGCTTCCCTGCCACGAGTCGCGACGCCTCCTCCAACTCCAAGTCTCCGACAGGCGTGCCGCTAGCCAGCCGCGCGATGTGTAGCTTGCCCACCGCGCTGCCCCGTGCTCCCGCCGCCACACCTACCCGAGCGTGCCCTGCATTGCGTCGGACCGGCGCCGGTGCGGCGACGCATGGGCGCTCATGGCCACGCGGGCGTGGTCGTGGTCACGGCGGTGTCACTGGCCAACCCCTACGCCGTCGAGGAGATCCAGGTCTTCCCGGAGTGCAGTGTGCTCGTGCTGGTCTTCGTCAAGATCAGGCAGGGCGACTTCGTCGCGGAGGACGTTGTGGAGAGGTTCAGACCTATGGGATACGAACGGAGCCAGCTCTGGAAGGCCTACGATGGCGTGGAGGCCGAGTGGAGGGAGAACGTGAAGGGGCTCGCCCACGGTGGAGGTGCGCCTCGGTGACCTCCGGGACCGCGTCCTCGACGTGCTCCAGATCCTCGGCGCGCTGCACGGTAGGGCGTCGGTGGCCCTGGCTGTTTGGGCGAGTCTCCAGCGCTGCGCGTCTACCGGACAGGCGGACAACGTGTTCAGGAGGAAGTGGATGCGTCTTGATTTTTTCCCTTCTTTCTAATTTTGGAGACCATCTTTACTACCTGGGATTTCTGCCCTTGTTGCCAAACAGCCACAGAGAATTGACACCCTGCTAGGGAAGGCTGCCCTGGGAAACGAATTGCCATCAAAATCCTCCCGAATGCTTTCCTTCCCTGGGATAGGCTCCACCTGCTTCCAAAGTAGCCCTAACAGTGCTGCGCCCGTTAAAATCCCCCGACATCGCCCTGCACACCTATCCCCACCCTCCACAACCTTAGCAGCCGAAGGAGCCAACAGAAAACATCGAGCTTTTGGCCCCAAATAAAATTGCCGCCAAATAAACCTGCAAGGAAAAAGCCTTAATTAAAAATAAATGATGGACAAGGGGGTCATTACCTACTAAAAAACAGGTTTCCAGTTTCTAGAAACCACTCTCCACCACCTAGTTTTCTTTGAGAAACCAGTTTTTAGTAATCTCTAGAATCCAGTTTTTAAGAAACTAGAGGGATCCAAACAGGCCTAAGATAAGAGCAGGGAAATTACATTCTTGTGCACAGCAAACTGTCGTGCTGATGTTTCCATCTTATCCAAGCACCATGTATATGGCAGCAATCTGAAATAAGAGTAGGGTAGGATTACTTTCAGTCTTATCTCTAGGAATGATAATTTCCATCTTATCCAAGCACCATGTCTCTGTATAAACAATCCACGAACAATTCTTCCAATTACGTAGTGTTCATATTCTCACACATGGTAGTTTAGTTCATTCCTGAGCTGCCTACACAGCTTACCCAACAACCCATAGTTTAGTTGAGTCATCGATCTTTATCGGCTATTAGAGTTTTCCCCGTCATCTTTAGATCGGGTTTAATTTTCTCTCTCTTTTTCCTCGATCCCTCATCGGGGTTGCGTTGCCTAGCCGTCCGTCGAGGTCCGAATGTCAATCCTCCCGAGGATTAGTTGTCGTTGCACCCTCCTAGGCTACAACGCCGGCTAGGGGTCAAGGCATCTACATCATCGTCGCATATCTGTCAATGGCACCCTCATGTCTGATCCTCATGGTCACGCCTGCTAATGGTCCGAGTCAGCACCGTTGTTAGAATAATCTATTGCTTTCTTGTGTGAACACACAGTAAGGGAAGGCGGCGCCAAAAAGGCCCCCTGCTGTGGTACTGTAGCCGCTGTCAGAGGCGGGCGCCGAATGGCTCACCTGCCGCACTGTAGCCACATACAGGGACAAGCGCAGAAGTCAATCCTGCTGTGTTATCTAGTTACTGTTGCAGCATGTGTGCTGTACTAGGACTAGATGGATAGAGTTGTATAAATAGACTACCACGGCAACTTAGTAAAGAGAGTTCAGATTTGCCATCTCCCATATAGGGCTTCGGCCAACGCTGGTGTCCGAGGCTTTGTTCAGCGCGAGGGCATAGACTTCGAGGAGGTCTTTGCCCCAGTAGCGCGCATGAAGTCGATCCGTTTGCTACTAGCCTTGGTAGCAGCAAAGGACTGGCGCATCCATCACTTGGACGTTAAATCGGCCTTCCTCAACGGCGAACTGACGGAGACGGTTTTCATCAGGCAACCTCCAGGTTTCGCCGTCAAAGGAGAGGAGCACAAGGTGCTCTGACTGCGCAAGGCGCTCTACGGGCTGCGGCAGGTCCCACGAGCATGGAACATCAAGCTTGACGCCACGCTGGGCGAGCTTGGGTTTCAGCGGTGCGCAACCGAGCACGCGCTCTACACGCGGCGACGGGGGAAGGAGGAGCTCGTCGTCGGCGTGTATGTGGATGACTTAATTGTCACCGACGCGTGCACGGAGGACATCAACGGCTTCAAGCGTGAGATGGCGGCTCGTTTTTGAATGAGTGATCTCGGCGCACTCTCCTACTACCTTGGCATCGAGGTGAGACAGGGGAAGGAGGAACTCACGCTCGGTTAAAGCGCGTATGCCTCCAAGCTGTTGGAGCGGAGCGGCATGGCTGAGTGCAAGCCATGCGTGACTCCGATGGAGGAGCGGCTGAAGCTGACGAAGGCTAGCACCGCGGCGAAGGTGGATGCAACACTCTACCGGAGCATCGTCGGTGGTCTGCGCTATCTAGTCCACATGAGGCCGGACATTACGTTCGTCATGGGCTACGTTAGTCGCTATATGGAAGATCCCAGAGAGGATCACTGGGCTACGGTGAAGCGGCTACTGCGCTACGTCAAGGGGACGATGGATCAAGGGATTATCTTTTCAAGACCGGCGGGAGTAGGCTGCAGCTCACTGTGTTCAGCGATGCAGACATGGCGGGGACATCGACGGACGATAAAGCACCTCTGGCATGCTCGTCTTCCTCGGGTCGGCCCCAATTTTATGGCTGTCGCCGAAACAGAAGGTGGTGGCGCTATCTACGTGCGAGGCAGAGTACGTAGCGGCGGCCACAGCGACGTGCCAAGTTGTGTGGCTACGCCGGCTGCTGAGCGAGCTGACCGACGTGGAAGCTCACCCACCAGCACTGATGGTGGACAACCAGCCCGCCATCGCCCTCACGAAGAATCTGGTTCTACATGACCGGAGCAAACACATCGACGTGAAGTTCCACTTTCTCAGGGACTGTGTCGATGGAGGGCAGATCGTCATCGAGTTCGTCGAAACTGGTCGGCAACTCGCGGATGTCCTCACCAAGCCGCTTGGACGTCTTCGACTTACGGAGCTGAAGGAGATGATCGGCATGGAGGGGGTACAAGGGATAGCAGTAGGATTAGGGGAAGATTGTTAGAATAATCTATTGCTTCCTTGTGTGAACACAGCAAGGGAAGGCTGCGCCGAAAAGGCCCCCTGCTGTGGTACTGTAGCCGCTGTTAGAGGCAGGCGCCGAACGGCTCACCTGCCGCACTGTAGCCACATGCAGGGACAGACGCAGAAGTCAGTCCTGCTGTGTTATCTAGTTACTGTTGCAGCATGTGCGTTGTACTAGGACTAAATGGATAGAGTTGTATAAATAGACTACCACGGCAACTCAGTAAAGAGAGTTCAGATTTGCCATCTCCCATACAGGGCTTCGGCCAACGTTGGTGTCTTGTACTATGTGTATATGCTCTGTTCTCCCTCTTCTTCAACCTCTAGCCATAGTGTGTGGGGACGGACAACGTTTATTCGTGGTCGGCTTAGCTAGTGGGTGCTCGGCAACACTAGCGGGTGCTCGGCAAGACTGGTGAGTAGTTCACTCACCTGAGCCGGTGATCCTGTGGGCTAACAAGCGTCTGCCATCCTTTGGGACGCTGCCACCACAGATGTCATAGTTGAGCTAATGCAGGCTATGCTCTTTCATACGTCCGCGTGCTCATCGCCCTCACCATCGTGTGATTGACTCGTCATCCATTGAGTTCTTTGGCCAGACAAAGCTGATTTTTATGTATCCATCTGCTCACCAAGATGATTTTGGAATAGTGGAATTGCACCCTCCTCCACGGCTACGACCATGTCCACCTCGCCCTCATCTACATCAGCATTAAAGGGCTATCATCATCATCTTGAGGCAATCATAGGTCTGTTCTTCACTCTTAGCATCCACTTTGCTCATGCTATGACTGCGAGGGATGTTAGAATACATGGCAATAATTTGAAATAATCTGGCTATTATGGTAGGGCAGGGTTACTTTCAATCTTATCCCTATGATAGTTTCCATCGTATCTCTAGGATTGCTTAAGATCCTAGCACCATATACTCTATATAAACAAACTACGGCTCGATATATACAATTTATCCAATTACACAGTATTCTTATTCTCACATAGATCAATGGCTTCCCCACCTCATCTATATCGATGACGCTCTTCCAGTTCCAGCACCGTGACCGTAAGCTCCATCACCGTTTATCTTCACTGATCCAAGTAGCGGGGGTTCCGACTGATCAGCTTCCTGGTTTCTTCCGTCAACATTCACTTCCCCACAAACCCTGGATAACGATCTGATAGGTTTCTTGCCCTTGTCATCACATAAACGTAGTTTTACTATTGCAACTCACATAATTGTCACTGGTATAAGTGGGAGTCATTGCTTTAATAGAAAGAGATAGACACGAGAGAGTGATGTGGATCCTCTGCAGTAATGCTGATGCATTAGCAGTCAATATGTGGCCCGGTGCGACACGTTAGTGATTGAACAGTACTTCAGGGGACTCAACAAGAAATCAAATAGTATATGCCATATATATGGGCAGCCTACAGTCATATGAGTGACGACTATATTGCATTGCCACTAACTCTATAAATACTGGTTGCATTGCACAATTCATATTGACGGACAATATGACATCATTGACTACCTTTATTATTAAGACTTTTTCTATCTCATTGCGGTTTGCTCAGGGAGTCGACTGGCTTTGCGTCTGTTGCAGATTTGCAGCTGGGGATTTAACTTTTGGATTGATTGATTCACTAGTAAATATTACTTTGTTTATTTTTACGAGGCATAGATTGATATTCAAAAATTCAAATTTAATAGATTTAATTTGTCTGGAATATGTTGTCAATTGGGTACAGTTTTACTACCTAACCATGCATTATACGAACTGTGGTGTGTGATACTCCCTCCGTTTTTGAAATATAGTCGTGAGTCGTTAGGATATAAAGTTCTAGTTCATTTTTTGAACTAGATTTGTTATCCTAACGACTATATTAAAAAATGGAGACAGTAAATTTTGCTATGAAATATCCGTCTATACAATATATATATATATATATATATATATATATAGCCGCTGGATGATGGTTAATAATCTAGGTGCAGGTTAGACAAATCCACAAAGCCAAAGAGTCTAGCTAGCAGTGCATATTGATCTTGCACCCAATTTTGATCACGAAAATTTCTCACTGATATGAAAGT